AAAAGTAATACCGGGCTGCTGGTAAAATATTGGGAGACTCATTGTATGAGTCTAGGGGACTTGTGTCCGGTAATTCTTCCGGTCATGAAGGTCCGCCGAGATGCCGAGCGAGTTGACTTGAAGCTCTGGTTTCCACTTTTATTTCCTGTACCCCTTTCCTTCCCAATATCTGACAATCGATTGCCGCTTGATTTTCGCGTTATATTTCCGCATTTCACAAAACTCCTGCCGCTGGCTCGAATATAAGATATTTGAAACGGCGACATTCCGAATCCGTAAACCCAGAGACCTTAACTCCTACCAGCGACCGGCAAAAACTTTTAGCATCCGTGTGGGAAAGCACGCATGTCAAATGTCGTTCCTCCCAGTTTCTCTGAGATTGGTGATGAAACCCAAAGTCATTTAGGATTCGTTGCCCGGAATCAAGCCGCTGCGGCCCAATAGGAGGAGAAAGGCAATGTCGAATACATTGCTGGTATGGATTAGGCAAGACTCGGGACATTCCGGATTCCAGCCCTGTAATGATAGCATTGCGATTCTGGTGACAGCCTTGAATATTTTAGTCCAGCAAACCGCGGATACTTTCAATCATGCAAGCATTCCTGCCATTACATGTTACGGCCGCAGAGCCCGGAAGTCGCGCTGCCTCGAGCTTTTCTTCGGACTTTGTAGTTGAATAAGTTGTCTTGTAATTTCTGATACTACGTGATGTGAGATTTTAATAGTACTCAGGCGTGTCCCGCAGCATGTTATTAATCTGCTCTGAATGGCACACTGGTGTACTTAGGGGTATTATTAGTTGGGCTGGTGGCCTTCTTGCGGAACAACGGGCCGGTTCATGATGGTATCAAATCTCCTGGAGAACATCGGAGTCGTACCAATCGACTAGGAAGTCCCGCCATCAGGTTGATAGGACCTATATGTCTGAAACTCATTCATACAAAGTGCAGTACAACAGTAAGTAAAAAACTACAGTAACTAATCACATCACTCAAGCTCCGTGCTGTACAAATTCAATGCTATGTTTAGTGCAAGACCTTTGTGCAGCTCTGAGAAATCAGATCAGAATGATTGGTATGGCTTTCGTCCCTCACCGCCCGTAGTATTCTCACTAGACTTCTGATCCAGATACCGTAAGATAAAATCACATATACAATAATACAAACACCTCCGTTACGATGTTGTTGCACAGCTTGCATCCCTTTGCTCATTGAAAGGGGGCGCTCAATGCTATTTTTGATAGCGTCGGTTATTAACGAACGTTCGTCTTTAAACTGGGTATGGCTGATATTTAGCTGTCAACAGGTCATGATGCTATGTGTACTTGGCGGTTCCTGTGTTTATCAACCTTAAATCACACATAGATGAAGAACGAATAAACAGCATACGATCCTAGTGAGAGCGCTAGTCGACTTATCGCCACACGACGACCACCTCATCATTCATTCAGCTTGCCATTGATATGCGTAGGAAAGGAAGTAATCTAGACATGGCTAATAAGGTTGGCGAGATGAAGAAAGTGCCAGTGAGTTGTCTATATATCAGAGGCCAGAGATCTTCATTGAATGACGCTACTACCTACTCGAGTTTATACAGCGACAGCGCGATCACTTTGATAGAATCATACGAGAGAAATGGGAATGTGATCAAGCTGGCCATGGCGTATGTGTTCCAACGGATGACGGACAGCATTGGCAGCTCTCTGAACAACACGTCAAAGCATGGGTCAATCTATTAGTGAGTAGCTAGCAATATGATTATACGTTTTCTTATTACTTGTCAGGTTAAAGGCGTGGGAACCACCGCAGAACCACCGCCTGGTACATTTGAAGACATTGGTGGTGGAGCTGTTTATGACCGTAAACGTGGCATATTGACTGTTCAAGCGGTACCTATTTCGCCTGCCCGGCAACGTCGTTTACCAGGAGGCTCCCAAAGACAAGGAGAGAGTATTACCTGGCACAGTGCCCCCGGCACAGAGGGTGGATCTGTAATTTCGGACAACAAGCGGGGGCCAGGATCGCTTGTCGCCAAAGGTCTTCGTTGGTTGGGTCGGAGAGGCCTTCTTGTGGTCGAGGAGGCAGCAGCCGCCAACCAGGGCAATAGCCATATATTTACCTTCAAAACATGGCAGAACAAAAAATTCTTAATCGGTCCTACGGAGAGACGTCATGCGTCAGAGATGCTAGAAGATGCATTGGAGATGGCAAAGTGAGTTGAGTCTTGAATAATAATAGGTTCTACAGTTGAGATTGTCCCCGAGGATACTAATGGTACTGTTTACTTTTAAAGGCCGTGTTTCCCAAAAAGGATCAACTGGATAGCATACGAAATCGGGAAGGAGGCGCAAAATTGGCTCGCGAAAGCTGACTTACCTATTACAGCTGATAATATCTTGCTATTGCTACGTGCCCAAGTATGCATGACCCCACTGTAAGGTTTCCATTGACGAATATTTTCCGGCCCTCTCACTAAGGTCTATCCCTTCAGAATACTTATTCGCATATCAGACAATGATCCATTCGCGGGGGATCTTGCTTGGGAACTCCTAGATGCCCTTACTCGTGCACCTCTGCTTCTCATCGACGACATCCCAGACTCCAAACAAAAATCGACGAACTATGAAGGCACAACTGCGATCGCTATCAGAATTGTTGCACGCGAGTTGGCATACTCTAAATGTGTGACGCAACACCCTTGGCTAGCCGTTCAACTCATTCGCATCGTGGAATTGACCCTTACAATCCGGCCATTGAGTGAATCTGAGTTGGCTGCGATATGGGAGTTAGCGTGCAGGAGAGAAGAGTGAGTTCATCATACGAGAATGCCTATATTGTATATTTATCCATCTAATAAACCCTTAGACAAACCACAGATGATGTGAAGACCGACAGCCGATCATGGGAAGTTGCACTTTTTGCACATTGCTCTGCCCAAGGGCCACAGTTCAAAGAAGCTGTCCTGCGGCCAACGGGGCTCCCGTATTTGATAAAGACCATAGAGATGGGTCTCGCAAAATTAATTCATAACGAAAATGTTCCATGGGAAAACGTTACTGTGACTTTCCGTACTCTTGCTTCCCTCACAGAGCATGACTGGGTCGTCCACTCGGATGTTGTGAATGAGGGAGCTGTTGTGGCAATTATGAGCGTATTTAGGTATTTAACTATGGCCTTGTTTGATTTGTTATTGTATTAATGCGAAATTCTCAGACGTGATATCCCAGAAAAGCACCTTCCCTTACATTATTGGGCTACCGAGACTTTACGTAACGTCATCGCACTCCGTCCGAAACTCATCCCTATTTTAATTAAGGGAGACATCCTTATTGTGCTCTCGAAGGTGATTCCATCTATCACGTCCCCTTCGAAAAGTAATTTGCTTTCTTCATCTCCTCCCACGCTAATTCTCCCTCTTCCGCCATTGCCACCAGAGCATGGACGATCTGATAGACGGGACTCTCGTGACAGCCAGCGCAGTTCATCAAGTCACCGACGTGGATCCACTGCCTCAGTCTATCCTGCTCCAGACATAATGACGCCAGCACAGGGCAAGCTGCTTGATGATTATAGACGAGACATGGCTAGATGTGCCGAAGAACTTGCTGCTCTTGTCAATGCCTGGAAACCGGAACCTCTACCTACATTTGAACCTGCGCTGCCTGAAGAACTTATATATTTAAGTTTTGAGCCGTGAATGGTCGCACTACATTATCTGAATTTATTATAATTTCACGAATTTTTTATTCTTTTTTCGGACCTTCTTTCGGACTTTTAATTTCAGGTTACGAACCATGGCTTGTAACTCACTATCACTGGAGGCATCCCAAGGTTTTTAAAGTTTGAAAGCCTTTCAAAAATCCTAATATTTGGCCAAATTTTCTAAGAATTATTTGAACTGATAAATTGCTTGAAAATTTTAAGTTTTAGTAGAATTTTTCAAAGTGGAAAATCATATCTAAAAACTTTAAATATTTGTATCATGAAATTTGAGGAAACATCAGTAGTCAGAGTTTTTTGATACAAATATTTAAAGTTTTCAGATATGATTTTCCACCTTGGAAAATCCTGCTAAAACTTGAAATTTTCAAAACATTTATCAGTTCAAAGAATTCCTAGAAAATTTGGCCAAATAGTAGGATTTTTGGAAGGTTCTCCAACTCCAAAAACCTTGGGGTGCCCCCAGTGTATCTACATTACATATTTTGACTTTCACACACCTGTTTTCGTTAAATTATTTCTATGTATTTTGCCAATTGCTAAACTTTATGAACGATTGTGCTGATAATTCAGAATGGTTACATGTACTACTAGCCATGCCTGGGAAATCGGGATACATGACACTAAGACATGACACTGCAGGCACCCCAATGTTTTGGGAGTTTGAAAACCTTCCAAAAATCCTAATATTTGGCCAACTTTTCTAAGAATTCTTTGAACTGATAAATTGTTTAAAGATTTTAAGTTTTAGTAGGATTTTCCAAAGTGGGAAATCATATCTGAAAACTTTGAAAATTTGTATCAAGAAACTCTGACTGATGATGTTTCCTCAGATTTTCTAATAAAAATATTTAAAGTTTTCAGATATGATTTTCCAGTTGAAAATCCTACTAAAACTTAAAACTTTCAATCAATTTATCAGTTCAAAGAATTCTCAGAAAATTTGGCCAAATAGTAGGCTTTTCAGAAGGTTTTCCAACTCCAAAAACCTTGGGGTGCCTCCAGTGTGATGGTGCTTGCTAATCTGAATAATATGTTAAATGTCATATGAGGAGAGGATAGCTTGAATAGCACTTGTCTATGCAAGGAATGTCAAAAAATGTCAACACATTACCAGAGAGCAGATACTGAGTGATTTAGATCTCCCTGACATTCAATATATGTAGTTCAACCAGATGTGACAATCGACTTAGCTCCTTTCTTTGCCTTACAGCTGTTCCAAGTAGCTAAGGTGGAGTTCAGAATTTAAAAAAAATCCCTGTTAAAAGTGTAGAAAATGAATGGCTAGACTGAGAATTGAACCCAGTGTTTCTGCATATATAGCAGGGGTGTTAACCATTACACCACCTAACCCTGGGAAAGCACTGCTAGCATTACTCAATCTAACAATCCCACCACAGACAAGTTATTGTGAACTTGCACAGACCACAGTAGATATTAGAATATAACTTGGCTTGTATCTATGAGTAAATTACTGGGGATTATATATATCTACAGTCTTTGTCTTTATCCATATTTGGATGAGTGGACCCCTGGTGGACGCAAATCCAGGGGCCACAGGCTCCATTGTGCAAAACATGCTGATGGGGACATGAGCGAGCCCCAACAGCATGCCAAACTAATAGTAAATACATGAAAAATCAATCAGTTTTAGGGCAATAAAGGAGCAGGAAAGGGTGGGATGGTGGGAAAAAGAAAATTACTCAAGGAAAGCCTGAGCAATCCTTGAGGGCCGGCCACTCAGATGATGGTGGCAAGAGACAAAAGGTGGTGGGAGCTGACTCCACGATGGCGGAGCTTAAAAGGGGAAACATTTCCATTACAAAGAACACGTACTAACAGAATTAGTCTGCTCCAGGAAGTGTTGAGATAATAGTGTTATGTAAGCTACCTTTGGTAAGCTGGAATGCAGTGTAGGGCAACTACTATGCTTATAAATAATATATATAGTATAGAGTCCAAGCATGTAGCCTCTCAGTGAAGCTTTATCACTCACTGAGAGCAGTATTTAGAACTGCACAAATAATCTCAACAGGAAGAAGGTTCTGGAAGGGATGACAGAGGTACTAAAGCTATGTTAAGTATATTCCAAGATAATCTATAATATTCTAGGGATGTCAGGTTGATCACCAACACAAATTGTGCCAGAATGAGCTGCAATTACGTAAGACATAATAACATGCTATGTGTATGATATTGTATGGATCTATATGTATATATATATATGTATATATATACAGTGACTCAAAAAACCCTTCACATGTTTTGTACTTCAGACTTATATCCCTGATAACTCAAAGAATAAAAATCCAAAAATATCAAGAATATTTGTGAACATGCACTATCATATCTAGATTATGGAGGTATGATGCCATTACATAAGCTCCAAATATGGAAATATTACAAATATTTATATACAAGAGACTCATGTGAAGGGTTTTTTTGCTGGCAACTTTGATGACTATAATGCTTACAGCCATGTGACCTTGTTGATTGTTTACCTCCAATTGGGTCATATTAACAAAATCATGTGATGTCACATGACCATGTTGTACTGGAGTATAAATATATGGTCTTTAGCAACCAGCAATGCTCCAATTCCCAAAATGCACACTTTGTCTCTTGCCAGCCAGAATCATATCCTCTCATTGCTTGATGTTGGCCATTCAGCTAGCCACATTGCAGCTTTTACTGGTCATAGCATTTTCACAGTCTCTAAGCTTCACTCTAAGCATTGTTCTCATCTCTCTAAGTCCATTGGTGGTCATCCCTCAAAGCTTTCCCCTACCAACATTCACTATGCACAGCACCTCATCAGCTCTGGGAAGGCTGACACTGCTGTTGATGTGGCCAAAGCTCTTAGGAGTGTCACCAACCAGTTCATCTGCACCCAAACTGTGTACAATAGTCTTAATATGGTTGGGAATGCCTCAATAACCCTTCTAATGTTTGGTACTTCAGATTTACATCCCTGATAACTCAGAGAATAAAAATGCAAAAATATCAAAGATATTTGTGAATATGCTCTATTATATCTATATTATGGAAATACTACAAATATTTATATATAGGAGACCTATTGGAAGGGATTTTTGGTGAGGTTTGGAGAAGGATTTGTGATGTTATGGGCCACATGCTGTGGGAAGGACCTGGGTATTCTTTCAAGATAGATGAGAGGATGGATGGGGACCTTTATCTTAAGATTATAGAGAAGGACCTTCAAGCCAGCTTCAGCTATTATAGAAAATATGTGGGTGATGTCATCTTTCAGCAAGATTATGACCTTGAACATACCTGCAAGAAGGCCCAGACTTGGTTTCAAGATAATGATTTCAATGTTCTCCAATGGCCAGCACAGTCTCCAGACCTCAACCCCATTGAACACTTGTGGGACTATGAAAAGAGGAGGCTAAGGGATACTGGTGTTGTGGGAGAGGGTGGAGGAGGAGTGGAACAAGATTGATGCAGAGGTGTGTCAGAATTTGATTGAGAGTATGCCTAGGAGGGTTGTAGCTGTTTTGAAGGCAAAGGGTGGCTATACTAAGTACTAAATATAAGTAGTTTTGTGGGTCAGAGTGGTCAGCAAAAAAACCCTTCACATGAGTCTCTTGTATATAAATATTTGTAATATTTCCATATTTGGAGTTTATGTAATGGCATCATACCTCCATATTCTAGATATGATAGAGCATATTCACAAATATTTTTGATATTTTTGCATTTTTATTCTTTGAGTTATCAGGGATATAAGTCTGAAGGGTGAAACATGCGAAGGGTTTTTTGAGTCACTGTATATTTGGCCTTATGACAGGCTATTTAATATTCAGTGAAATATCATTGCAATGGTCCCCCTTCATTCAATCCTCTCTATATTTGCATATAAGCTGGTAGAATTAATACTATGTATTGTATCTGAACATCACCTGAGTTATGAGGCCTGATACTACCTTTTGAAGAAGTTATACTACTCACTATCAAGTGTGCATACAGTAAGTGGCACAACTTGTTCAAAGGGTGGTATTAAGCCTCACAGCTTAGAGTATATTCATATACAATATATAGTATTAGTCCAACCAGATTATATGCAAATTGAGGAAGAATTGAATGAAGGGGAGCCATTGCACTGATATTTCACTGAATATTAAATAGCATCTCATAAGGCCGCCTATATACATAAATATATATAACAGACCCCTTGCTTTCTGATTGTCAATTATTGTGTTAAACAGTATTGAGAATCCTCTGGAAACTTGAGGCTAGGCATCCAGAATGTGGCCTCATCACCATTAAATCTATGTACAGTATGTATCACTTAGATCATACATTTCAACTCCAAAGTTAAAGTATACCTCACCTCTCAAGAAATTCAAAGGCAACAACCTTGTGCTGATAATAGGCTTCTGCATACATTTTCTTATATTTACCCCTCATCCATTCTGGGTTCCAATCTTTCAATGAAGGTGAGTTCTGGCTTGGATCTCCTTTCACCCAGTGGTCTACTGTCTGTTTCCATCCTGGCAGCACATCCAGATTGTTTTTTTGACACTTGATGATTTTGGGGATATGTAAGGCTATTTTGGGATCACTGGGTGGTCCTGTAGATGTAGAATGAGATGTCTGATCAGTATCCTGGTGTGGTATAGTAGATTCAAACTGAAGATGAATTTGGGGAGGTGCCGGATTTGGATTCTGCTCACCACAGTGCCAATATTATCACTGATGGCACAATTAGAATTGTGGCTCAGCATTTGGAGGTCTTGGTATAAAGCAAGCCTTGATGATTTGGGTCCAACCCATGAGAGTTGGCACTTGCACACTGCTATGTTCATTGAGAAAGGATGCATCCTTTTCCACCTTTATAGGACACAATGCATCACTGTGACCTTCCTTATAATGATCAAGTTCATCCAAATAGCAAATTAGTGTATCTCACTTGAATATGAATGTATTAGCATCTCAAATTGAAAGTAGAATCAAATCAAGCAATCACATGTTCACCTTGAGCCCAGCCACCCCACCAGTGAATTATTGCAAGACTCCAATGCTTACCTACAGGTGCATACACGAACCTATACTGTGTACCACCTTGACGAAAGCAGTGTGTCATTAATTTTGTAGTACCAAGCTCAATATTAACACCTTCCACAAATTCATCAGGCCACCTTTGGATTGTGTCATGAGAGATAGGTGTCCTGGGCTGTACAGTTCCTGTTGAAGTTACACTTGGAAATATAAAATTATTTGGCTCCAATTCATGGCCATATACATAAAAAGGTTTCCAAAAATATAATCCAAGAGTTCATGTGAAAATGCATGTCTACTAACAGCATGTCTGGCTGTGGATGGATTTTATATCTGTGACCTAGATGGAAGATGCATTAATCTGGTTACATTAAGTGAGGCCCTTGAGTGGTACATTACTTTCAAGGTCACCCTCTTTACTAATGTGATGTTGCCAGCCCTTCTGCTGCTCAAGATGAGATTCATCATATTTCCATTGATACCCTTCCTGAGTTTGCAAGTTCCTTCTGTAGTGCTTAGCCTGCAGTTTTGCAAGCTTAAAATTCCTAAAAATAAATCAATGACATGTACACAGGGTTGATTTAGTGCCTGCCATGTCCAGAGGGTCCAACCACTTGAATCAAAGGCTCGCATGAATAAATGTTTAGTTACTTTGAGCTGTACTTTCACAAAGTCACTCAGGCATGGTGTGAGTGAAGTCAACATTTCTTTTGGACACTCCTCATTAGACCAAGCCATTATACAATCCATAAATTCTTTGGACATCACTGCTGAATGCTGCTGTTCACCTAAAGCTGTGTCTCTTGCAATTACTGCCTTGAACAATTTCTTTGGCTTCTGGGGCAGATGCTGGATTTCCCCTGGCAATCTTCCTTTCTGGATCCCAGTGCCATATCCACAATATAATCCATTTGGGTCACTGTTAGCATATTTCTACCTTTAGCAAAAATATTTCCAAGAAAGGAAAGTCAAGGAGCACAAATGAATTATCCCAGAACTTCTTCCATGTTCTGCAATTCCTTTCTTTAATTCTTTCCCATTAATTCCTTTTGTAAAACATTTTGTTGCAATGAATAGTGTTAAAGTTGCCAGTGATGCTCTATTTGGTTTCTGGTCAAAAGTGTATCTAAGTTCTTCCAAAGTCCTGCTTTCTGACAGTTTGATAATATCTGGACAACCAGGTGGACACTTGAAAGAGGCCTTAGCTTCAAGTTGCTCCTGCAACTATTTTCTGGCTTGGTGGAGGGCTCTTTTGTAAGAGCCAAGGGTACTCTTGGAGAAGCCATGTTCGTCTTTTGAAGCTTTCACAGTAGATATGAGAGTCTTCAGAG